TTAATTTCTCACACATTGTTGTCTGATATGTAAAACAAAAGAATTATAGTACTGCCACACAGTTTTGCTCATTTAACAAATATTTACTAAGCGCCTACTAGGTTTATACTAGAGATATACTAGTGTATAAGATAGTCAATACCCTGACTTCATGGACTTTACCTTGCAGTTAAGAGAGAGAAAATAAACAAGCAATTAAATACCCCGGACAGTGGTATACATCAATAAGCACTGTGAAAGAAATAAAACAGGGCTGAGGAGTGACCAACAGAAAGTAAGAATGAGACATGAGTGTTCAGGGAAGATCTCTCAGAGCAAATCACATTTGTCAGGAAGGAACAAACATGAGAAGACCCAGGAGAGGGAGTCTAGGCAGAGGGGCTAGCAACAATACTATGGTAGGAACTAGCTTGGCACATTTTAGGAAGAGAGGGAAGGTTAAGGTGGCCAGAGTGTGGTGAACAAGGTAGAGAGTATGACTGAAGAGAAAGGGAGATGGGAACAGGTCTCACAGGTCTTTGTAGGCCTGATGCATTGGAGCAGCTTTTAAAAGATTCCTTTTGTTGTGTAGAGAATGCATCCTTGGTGAGCCAGGGGGGCAAGTCAGGAGCCAGTTATCAAGTGAGAGTTGATGAGGGTTATATGTTCATGGCAGTGGGGATGAAGAGAAGTAATTCAGATTTAAAATAAATTCTGGAGGTAATGTGGACTAAATGAAATAATGTATGTAAAGTACTTAGTATTTGGTGCTTGATAGAGGCACTTAAATACTTAAGTTTTGGGTATAGATAATATGATCTGATATAGTAGGTGCAGGTTAGCAGACTGGTTCAACTCATTATTTGTGTGCCACTTGGGTAGTTGAATTTGGAGCCTCAGTTCCCCATTCATCAAGTGAGGAGTGGATGAGATGAATTCTATGGTAGCTTCCAAGTGCTAATATTATATGAATCTTTTTAAAGGGATATATCAGTTAGATCTGATCAAAAATATGGAGTCACTATGAATGAGATAGAATAAAGAATTTACCATAAGGATTAGCCCTTTCAGAACTGTGAAAGCCAGTAAAACACTCTAATGCAAGGTATTACCTCTGTCTGGTGTTGTACTTGAAGTCATACAGATCAGGCAGGCCTGCAGTCAAGGAATAAAACTAGGTTTGACTTTTTGGGGATCAAGAAAACCCATAGATAAAAACCACCTCTAACCTTGACTAAGCAGGTGACTTGCAGAAGCTAGAGCTCTTAGTGACAGAACTATTCATTCATCTGGCCAGGACTTGAAGAATATGAAAGATATCTTCAGGAGTTAAAGGAGCTACAGGTCTGAGTGCTGCCCATGCCAACAGGGGAGTCAGAAGATCCAAGAAAATGTTTGTGACTCCATGGTGTGCTGGTATCTGCCACTAACTTTCAGAGCATGAAAATGATGTTTCTCTATTACCTCCCACTCTTGTGACAATTTCTCTTGTGGTCAACCCTAGTTAGTAACCACATAGGGAAGGGAATTCTGAGAAAGATAGTTCCAGTCTTGCTACATTGACACAGTACAAATACCCTGATTCTGTTCCTTGTAGGTTGGCATTCACACACACAATTCTTTTAGCTTAAGTTCCAGATGAAATTCAACATTTAAATCATGCTTTCAGTTCACACAATACAACTGTGGCTCACAACTGAAAACATGCTATCTCTATCCCCAGGAGAAGACATAACATCTTTGGATGGTATTCATTCTTTTTTTATTATTATTATTCCAAGCAAAATCACTCTCTCCTTTGATAACTTAATTCTGTTCTGGTTACATGTTGCTGAAAAACAAACCAATTTATACTTAAAGACATCAAATAATAATAATCATGGATTGTGTGTGGCAGGAATCTGGAAAGGGTACAGCAAGGATGGTTCTATGCTCCAGGATGTATGTGCAGTGATGATTGAAAAAACAGGAACAGCTGGAGCCAAAGCACCTACTTTCAAGATGGCTTCTTTACTTCTGGAACTGTCTTGGGCTGTCTGAAAAACTAGTTCATCTTGGGAACATTATATAGGAAGTCTGCAGGTGACCTCTCCTGTATAGTGCCTTAGAGAAGTTGGGCTACTTAAAAGGATGCTCAGATCTCCAAAGTAAGTTTTCCAGGAGACAAGTAGAAACTGGATGGCCTTTTATGATATACCTTTAAAGTCACTTAGTGTCATTTGGTTCTGTTGTTTTCTATTGGTTGGAGAATTCATAGCTCTTCCAGATTCAAGAAGAGGGAACAAACTCTGCCTTTCAATGGGGGGAATGTCAAAGAATTTGAGGCCATGTTTTGAAAACTACCTCCTTGTCTAGTCTAATTCATGTTTTCACATTATGTAGTTGGTTCACTCTTTGATCATTATGTAGCATCCTTTTGATTCCTGTTCATTTCTCATCAGAAAATTACATGTTGAAAGTGTTGCCTCTTAGAGATTATTTCATATGCCTTCTTCCCATTGCTTCCCTGAGTCTCTGGAAAACTTACATACATACCCCTCAAAGATAAGTTCACGGTCCATTTTTTCCTACAAACTTACCAAGAAGTGATTCACTGACTTAAAATTCCTTGGCTTGAGATCTATCTCATGGCATATCTGATTCTCAATGGCTTCAGATGACAATGAGATGAGTGGTTGATTAGCCAATAAACCGTGATAAGAGATTATCTTCTGTTGATTCACAAAGTAGAGAAACTCATTTGCCTCTGAATCAAAGGGTGATTTTAGCCAAAAATATTGTTCTACTGAAAAGTGTTTAAGAATAGGCATTGTAAATTTAAAAAAATACATAAAGAAGAAGATAAATGATTGGCAAAACATGACTTCAGAAGAAAGCTGAAAGCTGTGAACCAGGCTTTAACTTATGATCTAACTGGATGTGTTTTGGTGGTTGCCTATACCCAGCCCATAATGAAGACTCTCTTCTGAAAAAGCAGATCACTTATCACTTACAACATTCATTTATTTATTCAACAAATAACTACTAAGTGCCTTCAATGGTCCGGTTCTATTCTGATCAGGAGCACAATGGAGAACAGGACAAAGCCTCTGACCTCAAAGGTAATGAAACAGACAAAGAATAAACAAGAACCTTATAATGTAGAACCTTATGTACACTAGGGGGAGAATGGGGCGAGTCCAAAGAAAAAGTACTTGCCTTAAAGAACTTGTTTCACTTTTGGTCTCATGTTCATCTTCCCCAGTGTGACTAAAAGCTTCTTGAAGGCAGAAACCATCTTTTATAAGTCTGCATACCTGCAGTGACACATCTGCAACAATCCATCTCTAGACATCAGCTAATGGCTTGTCAAATACTGAAACAAAATGAGGTAGTGGAGGTAGAAAGTGTGTCTTCATTAATTTTTGCCTCCCACAGAGGTCTTGGTTTCTCATCTGTGTGTTAAACCATCACTACCTTCTTATGCTTGCTGAATATATGGGTAGGAGGAACTACTGGACTTTGATTCCTTGACATCAAGATCTCAGTGGTGATGATGCTTCCCTCCTGACTAGTAGTACAATGGACTAAGAGACTTTGGCTCTGCCAGTTAAATAGTTGTCACTTAGCCTTTTGGGATGTTTGATTCCTCAACTTGGAGCCAGATCAGTGTTCCCTTCCACCTTCTTCAGTAGACATGGTTTTGTTTTATAACTAGTTTGGGTGCAGGGGAAGACGAAGCACCCAGACTATTTATAAACTGATAGGATGTGGCTTGGCATTTCCCTATGGTTCTGTTGTTTTCAGTAAATTCACAATACTTACGGGGTTTTAGTACCAGCAAAATTTTCCCTCAAAAACCAAACAGGGTAATAATAAACTACTTTCTTGCATTTTCTATCAAGACAACTCTTTGTGAGTTCTAAATGTTCTGCCTAGATTCAAAGAAGCTGGTTTCTTCATGAGTGGTTGAAATAAGACTTTTCTTGGAAGCTACTGAATATGGATTAGTTGGATTGTTTCACAGGAAATAAAAAGCAGGCTCTGGGGTGACCACTTCAACACTTAATTGGGTTAGCAAAGAACTGCAAATGAGAGGTTTCCTTTAGGAGGGAAAGGATGTTTACAGCTCCCACCCCCTTAGGTGATGGAGTTTAACCTAAACTCTAGTCTTTAAATGCAGCCTTTAATTTAGGAACCATTACAAGAATCTATTAGAGCAGAAAATGTCAGGTTGAAAAATTAACACATCACAGGAGTTAATTAGAACCCGGCCCCTCATTAGATGCAAATAGAGAGCCCTCCAACTGGCCAACAGCCGCTGAAGTCATGTTTGTGGCAGCTCCAAACTGGCTGCATCTTTACCACTCCCGGCTGGACCAAGGAAACTGCCCTGCACTAGGGCCAGAGCCACTAGGGGCCCAGGCCAGGGCTTTAGGTTAACTGAAGGTTCCATTCACACGTCACTATCTTTTCCTCTCAGAAATGCTGTGCATGTCACTGTAACAAAGACAAACATGCCATGCCTGTCACCAGGGGCAGTTGTGGACTGAGTAAACCACTCCATGAGAGGGGGGCTGAAGGGGCTCCAGGCTATTCAGACTTAGCCCTAAGTTGTGGTCTTTGTTTTCTTTCCACATTCAGACTGAAATGTGATTCCCCTGGCTTTCTTTTTTGGAAAATACCTAGAAAGAAAAGCTGTTGACAGGAAAAGCTTCTGACAGGGAAGGGGCTTCTTCAAGTGTTCTCATAGGAGACAGTTGCTCCAAACATGCTGAGGCAGGGATGCCAGGCCTAGAAGGAGGTCAGGATCACAAAAGGGTCATCTTTACCTGTGGATTAGGCTAGGTGTTAAGCAGTTTCCTCTATGAGAGCAGTAACACACACACAGTTTAGGGCCAGGTCCATTTGCATCTGAGCCTTCTCCACCACTTACTATGTGATCTTGGGTAAATTGCTTGACCTCTCAAAACATATCTTCTCAGGTTGTGAGAAATAAATGAAATGAATGTAAGTCATGGAACACAGTGCTTGGCTCAGAGTCAGGGTTCTACATGAGTTCTCTTTTATTTTTATTGAGTTGGTAATAGCATTCTTTCACTCAGCACTCATGATGTCTTCTCTGTGTGCCCTGTGTGAGGAGCAGGTCCTCCTCTTGACTGCGGAGAGTTCATTCCTTCATAAACCATACACATGTGCCTTTAGCAGGGAGCATGCCTCCCTCCCCTTCCTGCTCTAGGAGAAGGGCCAATTTCACACTAACTGCTTTGTTCAATGGCTCAGAATTCTGCAGGTCAGCCCCGTTGAGTAGCCCTCCAAACTCAGCTACCTCCACCTGTGATTTACCCACAATTCTCTATCTGCACATTTACCACACTGATGGTAAATGTAATAAACAAACATTACTGATGTTTGTTTATTCTTTGTCTCCTGTGTGATCCTAGAGGATGGGGATCGGGTATTTATTTAATCTCTTCACTTGATATGTTCATCTCTGTAGCCCAAATAATTAATAGATAATTTGCTCTGTTCATCTGGTTATCTATTCTTCTGTGTAGGCTAATGGTCTCATGTGGTCTAATGGTCTAATGGTCTCAGCATAAGTGCTTCAAGCCAAAGATTCAACCTTACTGCTGAGTACATTGATATCCACATGGGGACTTTTTCTGGGGAAATAATGTTGATTTCCTTCTTTGAAGGGCTTCCATTGGGCCATGATCTGGTTGGTCCTGTCATTTTCTCTTACTTTGGTTCTAGCCTCAGTTTGCTAATCTCCTTAAGGGGCTGATATACAGCCTCCTTCACAGGGAGGTTATGACCATGACCACAGACCTGCGAATTAGTTCTAGGCACAAAGCCAAACACCAAATGAAGTTGATTACATTCTTGCCCTCAGTCAAGTTGAGTTGGTAATATAAGAAAACTAAAAATATACGACAAAATATGAGCACTACATTAATGGTGCATTCCTCCAATTTATACCTACTCCCTGCTACGTGCCAAGAATCAGCTGAAATGGGAGGGTATAAAAAGCCCCAGGAAAACAGTGGCAAGTGTTGAACAAAAAGGTCTCAGGAAGAGGGTAGAAATCCCTCTACCCATATCCTCAGACCTGGGCTGCCAGAGATGTCTTTAACACGTCTGGAAAGTAGGAGGTTGTCCTATAACTGACCTTGTCTAGTGGTCCCAGAAGAAAACAAAACCCAAAACCCAACAATAACCAAGTTATTCAGCATTTACTATTGTGCCATTTACTATGTGCCAGACATTGTGCAAAATGACTTACAGGCGTTATCTCAGTTAACTCTCTCAACAACTGTGTGAGGTAGACATGAACTTCCCTCAGAAGTTGGCCAGATGTTAGTTTGAGGCTTGGAGAGGCACAGTTGCTCCACCACAGTCAGGCAACAAGTAAACGGTTTAGGAATCCACCTGCTGGGAGTTTCACCGGCTAACGGTAAAGCAGAGAGAGGGTAGAGCACACAAAGCCCCTGAGGTTGAGAATGCAAAAGGAAAGTTAAATGGGTACCCAGGTCGCAAGATCTCCAGATCCCCAGAACCACACAGAAGCAGGATAAGAAAGAAAGGAGCGCAGGTTGAAGGGAAGTAGGGCCAGGAGGCTGGGGAAGGGAGAGTCCTGGTGCTTGTGCTTCTTGCCCCCAGCACACAGGTCAAGCCTCCCCCCTCCCGCCCTCTCACCATCCCAACCTTATTTAGAAACCGTGTCCCCAAGACAGGAAGGGCGGCGGGCCGAGCAGCACGGAGCGTCCCGGTCTCATTTCCTTTTGAATCCCCCTGTGGAATTTCATTTCATACGGTGAGGAAATCGGAGCGCGAGACCGTCGGCTGGGCGGCTGGTCGGCTGCTCCGGGACGCCTCCCCCTTTCGCGGCTGGAGACAGGCAGCTCCCGAACCAGGTTGGGCCGAGTCTGGGGCGGGAAGAGGGGGGCCCAGCTCCAATCACAGCTAGTTGGGAGTGAAAATAGCTGCGAACTCGCGTTGTACCAGGCACCGTGCTACGCGTTTTACGCGTCATCGCTAATCCTCCCAAGTCACTTTAAGGACAAGGAACCTGACGCCAAGAGGTTGGACAATTTGTTCAAGGTCACACAACCTAGATTTAAAGCCACAATCTGTGCAAATCCAAATCCTGTGTTCTTTGTGCACGTTTTTATGCTTGACGGGGAGGTGGGCCAAGGGTCAAGGTGACAGCTGGAAGGAGGGCAAGAAAGGGGGCATCGAGGCGACCTCACTTCTCACCTGGGACAGAGGGAGCGAGTTGGCTGGGCCAGAGCTACTAGGTTCGTAGCCGCCTGGCCCCAGCACGCCTCCGGGTGGGAGGAAAACGAGCGCCGGGAAGCTGGCGGGGCGGGGCGGGGCGGGGCGGGGCGGTCCGGGGAGCGAGGGAGAATCGGAGAAGGGGGGCTGTGGGCTGAGGCCTGACCCTTCCAGTGGGAGAGCCACCCCGCCCCAACCCCGCCCCTCTCTGCCTGGGACGCCACCCCATTGGAGAGGCTCTCTGTCCGTCTCGCCTCGCCACCGCCCAGAGAATCTCCAGGGCTGCGAAGGGCTGGGGTTGTGAGAGCGGCGCGGCGCAGAGTGCTGGCGGGCTTCGCTGAGACGCCGAGCAGACTTCGCGGTCGCCAGGTTATGGGCTAGCTGCCTGAAGCCATGACCCTCGCAGTCTGTCCCTCGGTCTCAGCCTCGGGCGTCTGATACCCCACACAGACGCGCGCAGCTGCCTAAGAGGCGGCTACTGCCCCCTCATCGCCCTTGGCGCCTTATCACACTCTCTTCCCCAGAGCTGGGAGCAGCGCGGGCAGCCGGCGCCCCCGTGCAAACTGGGGGTGTCTGCTGGAGCAGCCCCCGCCGCCGCCACTGCTGCCCCGGGCTCTGGCCATGGCCTGGCGGGGCGCAGGGCCGAGCGTCCCGGGGGCACCCGGAGGTGTCGGGCTCAGTCTGGGGCTGCTGCTGCAGTTGCTCCTACTGCTGGGGCGGGCACGGAGTTTCGGGGACGAGGAGGAGCGGCGTTGCGACCCCATCCGCATCTCCATGTGCCAGAACCTCGGCTACAACGTGACCAAGATGCCCAACCTGGTGGGGCACGAGCTGCAGACGGACGCCGAGCTCCAACTGACAACTTTCACGCCGCTGATTCAGTACGGCTGCTCCAGCCAGCTGCAGGTGGGCGTCCCTAACCCCCACCCCTGGCGTGACCCTTTGGGCAGAGATGCCCCAAACTCCCCCGGTAGAGCTCATGCTAAATCGAGACCCCTGTCCCCTTTCAAGCCTGAGGGTTACAAAACTCCTGGAAAAGTGATTTCCAACCCCACTACCACTTTTCTGTCCCTACTTAGGGACTGGAAGCCAAAACGTTGTGTAAGTCATTTGGCCTGAGAAAGAACCCACTCTTACACCCCGCCCTTCCGTTTTTCTCCCCTGCCCACCCATGTCTGGCCAAGCCCCTAACCCCAGTGGAGCTGAGGGTTATCTTTGCCAAGGATTCCAGCCACTGCTCGGTGGGCGAGTCCTAGGCAGAGGAGCCAAATGGAGTTAAGACTTGGAAGGAGAGATAAGAAGACAGGAACTTCTCCTCCCTTCCCTGTCCCTCACGGACCTTCTTTCTCTCCTTATTTTGGGGAATGAGTTATTAAATAAAATACTACGGCCCGTTTGCTGCGGAATGACCCCTCCTTGCGTCGTCCCTCTGGTTTTAGAGGTCATACAGGAAGGAGTTAGTTGGGTTGACTTGAGTTCTTTCTCATCCTCAGGGTTGAAGTAAGATTTAGTGTTTGAAAGGAGAGACGGAGTTCCAGAAGTTAGCTTGTAGATTGGAAGATTTTTTTTTTTTTGCAGTCATTAAAATTTTTTAAACTTATGTAATGTGTAATGACAGAAATTGTCTTAGAATAATAAGTGAAGAAAGAATATGCATATGTAGGGTAATTGTAATCTTACAACAACCAATTCATTATGGGGAAAGACTGAAAGGAAAATTTAAAAACTTAACATTCATTGGTTTTTGGTTGAGAAGACTGAGTGATTTTTAGAAATTTAGAAAAGAAAGCAGTTGAGGGGGAAAAAATAGAGATTAGTTGTCCAGGCTAAAAGCTTCAGAAATCTATGGTTCTGGCTGCAACTTCTGAGAGATAAGAAACAGACATACAGCTTACTTACTAGCTGCATGTTTTTACATAGGTCATTTTAAAAAGTTGGATTGTGGTTTTGGAAAGATGGATGGGATTAGACCTGTTCCTGGTGGAATATCCCTTTGGAAATTTCAGAACTTTAGAACTAGGTTATAAAAGCTTAAGAAATGATCCTCTAGCTCTCAGTTTGGAAACAGCACATATCCTGACATCAGTGGCAATTTTGTTGGAGAAACAGCTTTTGCAGGGATATATATTTTTAATTACATGTATTCTGGGGAAGCAGCCAAGCTGTTTTGAAGGACAGGCCAGGATCCCTTTACATGCTGGAAAATAGTTACTTGTAACTCTAGACTTCATAGACAACATCTGTAAGGAGCCAAGGAGACTGTTTATCAATGCTGGAGGAATTGAGGACAGCAACTGGACTCTCCCCTGCTGGTATTGCAGTTTCAGGGACTTAACATTTACATTTTCCTATTGTGCTTTATTACTATTCATTGAGTAAACCCTAGCCAAACAAATCCCCAGTGACCAGAGACCTCAATCTATCTTATCCTTGGGTCTAACAGTGTCTCTGTTGGTATATTTTCATTTTCAATATGGGACTGATTTTTAAAAATGTAAAGAATAAAATAGAGGAAAAGAGAATATTAACAAGATATGTGTGTGTATAAATATATTTACATTACATTTATTTTTTTCTTTAATATTTTTGTTGTTGTTGTAGATGGACACAATACCTTTACTTTATTTTTATGTGGTGCTGAGGATCCAACCCAGTGTCTCATGCGTGCCCGGCGGGCACTTTACCACTGAGCTATAACCCTAGCCCACATTATTTTTATTTTTGAGGTGTTGAAAAAATGAGGACAAAAAGTGAGCACCCCATCACTTAAATAAATGAATTATTTTATTAGACTCTTCAACTTTTTCAAATAGTAGCTAAAAAGGAGAGGGAGATTGAAAACCAGTTTTTAAAAGTTTATTTTCTTAAGGGTTATGATGTGAAAAGGGATTATATAATTCTTAAGACCCTTCTTATTTATGTATTTATTTATTTAATGTTCCTCTGGACAGGACTACTAGAGCCAAACTAAGTGTATAAAAGTGATGGATTATTAGGCACCCTTGTTTGAGGGCAGAGTAAACAGACTCATAGTAGGCTGGTTTAAAAGTAGATATATATACATTGCTTGGAAGCATTCACTCAACTTTGTGCAAGCATTTGGCCAAACTTCCAAGTCATTGTTTTCTTTGTTCATTTCGTTACTTTTCCAGTTCTTCCTTTGTTCGGTTTATGTGCCAATGTGCACAGAGAAGATCAACATCCCCATCGGCCCATGTGGCGGTATGTGTCTTTCTGTCAAGAGACGCTGTGAACCGGTCCTGAAGGAATTTGGATTTGCCTGGCCAGAGAGCCTAAATTGCAGCAAATTCCCACCACAGAACGACCACAATCACATGTGCATGGAAGGGCCAGGTGACGAAGAGGTGCCCTTACCTCACAAAACCCCTGTACAGCCTGGGGAGGAGTGTCACTCCGTGGGAACCAATTCAGATCAGTATATTTGGGTGAAAAGGAGCCTGAACTGCGTTCTTAAGTGTGGCTACGATGCTGGTTTATACAGCCGCTCAGCCAAGGAGTTCACTGATACCTGGATGGCGGTGTGGGCCAGCCTGTGCTTCATCTCCACTGCCTTCACCGTGCTGACCTTTCTGATTGATTCTTCCAGGTTTTCTTACCCTGAGCGCCCCATCATATTTCTCAGTATGTGCTATAATATTTATAGCATTGCTTATATTGTCAGGCTGACTGTAGGCCGGGAAAGGATATCCTGCGATTTTGAAGAGGCAGCAGAACCCGTTCTTATCCAAGAAGGACTTAAGAACACAGGATGTGCAATAATTTTCTTGCTGATGTACTTTTTTGGAATGGCCAGCTCCATTTGGTGGGTTATTCTGACACTCACTTGGTTTTTGGCAGCAGGACTCAAATGGGGTCATGAAGCCATTGAAATGCACAGCTCTTATTTCCACATTGCAGCCTGGGCCATCCCAGCAGTGAAGACTATTGTCATCTTGATTATGAGATTGGTGGATGCCGATGAACTGACTGGCCTGTGCTATGTTGGGAATCAAAACCTTGATGCCCTCACTGGCTTTGTGGTGGCCCCTCTCTTCACTTATTTGGTGATTGGAACTTTGTTCATTGCTGCAGGTTTGGTGGCCTTATTCAAAATTCGGTCAAATCTTCAAAAGGATGGGACAAAGACAGACAAATTGGAAAGACTGATGGTCAAGATTGGGGTCTTCTCAGTACTGTATACCGTTCCTGCAACGTGTGTGATTGCCTGTTATTTCTATGAAATCTCTAATTGGGCAATCTTTCGGTATTCTGCAGATGACTCCAATATGGCTGTTGAAATGTTGAAAATTTTTATGTCTTTGCTTGTGGGCATCACTTCAGGCATGTGGATCTGGTCTGCCAAAACGCTTCACACGTGGCAGAAGTGTTCCAACAGATTGGTGAATTCTGGGAAGGTAAAGAGAGAGAAGAGAGGGAATGGTTGGGTGAAGCCTGGGAAAGGCAATGAAACTGTGGTGTAAGGCTTAGCCAGCCTCCACACTTTCTTCATCTTGAAGTGGGGTTGTCAGCATTTCTGTGGAAGTGCAACTAAAAGTTTTATGTGGTGAATCTCAGTTTGAACAAACTAGCAACACTTAAGAGATCCCCATCAACCCACCACCCCTCACCCCCCACCCCAGCATCATAAAAAGCAGTGATCTTGCTGCAGACTTTGAAATTATCCAAAATGGAAAAGCCAGTTAGAGGCTTGCAAAGCTGTGAAAAATCAAGATGTTGATCACTTTAGCAGGTTGCAGCTTGGAGCATGGAGGTCCTGCCTAGATCCAAAAAGTCCAGGGTGATGCTGTTTTTCTCTACTGGGTGGGATTTGAGTGTGAGTTGGTAACTTGCAGGGAGAAAGATTAATTTTTAAATCCTTTTAAATTCTAAATACTAACTAGGTCTTTCAGATAGCAAAGTGATCTATAAACACTGGAAATGCTGGGTTCAGAGAAGTGTTACAAGAGTTTTATAGTTTGGCTGATCTAACATAAACATCTGTGGTGCACTGTCTTCTGTTTAGAACTTT